AATTTCTTGCATGATCACAAACGTCAATATGGTAATGTTCGCGTAGCTAACACTTTGCGTTTCAGAAACCGGAAGTAGTCAGAGAATAAATTCGTATCATTGGAAATCATCTTTGTCACGACTAATCTCACGGCAGAAAATACTAGTATTTTGTTCAAGCGCCTTTTATGTTAACATCAACTAAAAGATAGATACCGGTTATCAAGAGATAATGAGAGGCTCTGCTGTTTCTATCTATAGTGATAACGCGAGGATATACAATTTTCATAAATTTTTCGTTGTTGCCTTCGACCTTTATTGATCGATTGCTGTCACCTGAATTTTGATAAATTTAAATGATTTTGGAATAGTAACTTCATTAAAAACACCAAGTTTCTTGAATACTCATCAACTTTTTTTTAGTAATAATGGGTAGCTAATGTCATAGGGTTTCCGAAGGAGATGCAGTCAAGCTAGAAATAAATGTCTCTCTAATAATAAAAATGATACTCTATATTAATCCAAAAGAGGTTAATATTCACAAAACCGAACGCATAAATTATAACCAACAATGATAAAAAAGTGATTACGCCAGTTATACCCCTAATATTTTTTTCTGAAAAATTACGGACAAACTGGTAAATAGTACTCATAATCTAATTCAGCCAGGAAAAGATTGTATTCTATGATTAACCGTGACTCTTATCGAGGCTGAACCAAAATCTTGCCGAGCTTCAAAATTGCTTCAAATTACTGCCAGAAATATCGGGTATAGTTTTATAGTTCCAGATTTGTTAGGGTAGCTGATGTTATCTTAAAATGCAAACGGTTGAATCTATTGTTGGAGATCGTTCGTTTTATAACCGTAAACAGACAATCACACTCATGAAAAAACCGTTAAGAACCTACAAGTAATCGCATTATTCTATTGGAATTTCGGATCTGTTTCTTCGTACATTCTTATTTCTGTCTTGCGAAAAACTTTGTCGAATGTGATTAGGAAATTCGATTTTGTAAAATATCTTTGAGTACAGAGTCCGTTACATGCGGCAGTTAATACGATATTGACCCACTTTAGACATCTGCTAATAAAACTACACACGAAAAAGAGAAACACATGAAAAGTACGTGATCCACAAGCTTGCTAGACTTTTCAATATGCAAATGCATTCGGAGAATAACCACAAATGCACCATTCGATTTCCGATGACAACTGATGGATATCTGAGCGCCTAATGGGATTATGTAATGCAATGTTGTCATATAACACAATGTCGTCAGGTAACTTACTTACTTGTCGTCATACGAAATGACAATCGATACGAAAGTGCAATATTTTTATTGAGTTTAGAAATGCATAGAATTTTATTAAGATTTATGTATGTGTGTAGGTGTTCCGATATACTACATACATATGTATGTAAAAACAGGGAAGGAGAGTAATGCTAGTGAAAATAAACAGGGTGACAAACAGTTTAGTAATAAAAAGTATTAAACATTTGTTTAAATCAGTTTAATTTTTTTCGAAATCTCATTTTCCTGGTTTTATTTCCATTACAACAAAAATTTTTCTTCATGCAATAAATCCCAAAAAAATTTAACCACTGAATACACCAACAGTTGAGATCGTTGAACTTGAAAGCCCGACTTCTACTCACTTTCGTGGAAGAAGGTGTGACGATCGTAAACGATTCAAATATTTGATATATTGCGAAAACTTTGTTACTCTCATGCACTTACATAATACTTTATTTCAGTCCACATTTCTTTGGCAAAACATTATGCATTTATTTATTTATTTTTTCTTTATGCTATGTTAAACATATATAATACGCATACCGTTATTTTTTGCAATCCTATATCAGTTACGCACTTACGGCATTCTTCGATAGCCGGTGTGAGCTACAGTAGTTATGCTATACACATGCGGAATTCTGAACACAGATTTTGATATCAGCATTTTGTATGTTCGGATTTCATTTCAATGCCACTTCGGTGCCAATTACACTTCCACTTCAGTATTCAAACCACTTTTTTTAATTTCATTCATACACCCACAAATATTATACATACCTACATACAAGTACAATGCTTAAATTCTTCAGATATCAGCATTTTAGCACTTAATAACGCATAAACATTTTACTTTTGATTTTTTTTAAGTGATTCTCTCTTTGTTCGCTTTATGCCTTACGCAGCTCTTGGTCGAAGTTCGTGAATAACAATCAAGCCGATAAGCTTAAATTGTTTTATTATTATTATTCAAATACCTATGTATACGCATGTTATCAATTTGGTTTAATTCGTATTGGGTAAAAACTCTTTGTGAACAAAGTTGTAATAAAGCCTTGGCATTTCTGGTGCGATAAATGCGTATTGAGTCGTACTCAGTCGACAGAGAAATTTTTCTTTGCCCCATAGCCACTATTTCTTAAATATTATATTCTTAGAAAATTGCTCCAAATTAAAAAGTTAACATTTTAAAATTAAATAGAGAATTCCAAACCTTTGTTATAATCTCAAATAAAATAATTGTAATTTGATTTTTTATTGTAAATTTAATTTAAGTTAACTCGTGAGTTTACTTACAAGCAGCAACCAATGAGCTCGCACAAATACTTCTCATTAATTTGCTAAGTCTGGAAAAAGCTAAAAGACATATGGTCTATAACGACAATGAAAAGGAAAAAATCCCAGGTTGATCGGGTCTGCATAAACGGGACAATGTTAGATTTACATCTAAATAAGTACTGTTATTTCCACCAGACTAATTTTCGAATAATTTGTGCCGTTACTACAAAAGTATCATGTTATTATTGTTTGTTCTCTCTCAGTCCTATTTCAGAAATGTTAAAATATGTAGAAACCTCTCAATACTATTTCATACGGAATTTTTGACCTCATGCGCCATATTCCTGAAAGCTTCATCACATAAACAACTTCTAGTAAAAATTTAACTTTTACAAATAAATGAAATAGGGGTACTGATCTGTTTAGTTTCAAGATGGGTTCGAATGAAGATCTCTTTTTTATATCCTGAACAGGCTATGTTAATTTAGTTTCTAACACCCAGAAAGAAACGTCGGGGACCCTATAAAATATATGTACGAGGGTTGTCTTTATTTCGGTATTGAAGAACAATCATTAAAAATCGCTTTACTCTTTTTCAAAATATTCTCCATTAAGATCTATACACTTTTGCATGCGTTTGAACCAATTGTCGAAGCACTTTAGCCACTCTGGTTGAGGTATCTCCAAAACTGGCGTTCTGAACGCATCAACCGCCTCTTCAGGTTGACCTCTTAGTTAATTTTTCACGTACGGGAATAAAAAGTTGTCATACGGTGCCGAATCAGGACAATACGTTGTATAACTCATCACATTGATGTTTTGAGTCTTCAAAAATGAAGTTGCTTCAGTCGTTGTGTGAGAGCTCGCATTGTCGTGGTTAAGAGTGATGCTTCTCGGCGGATATTTGTTCTGATTTTTAGAGAGCCAACTGCCAAAAATGTTTGTGTACCACTCAGAATTTGCTGCTTTGTCTTGTTCTAGTCTTATGATGACGACATGTCCAGTTTTTCCAAAAAAACAGGAAACCGTTTGCTTGAAAATGCTTTGTGTGCGAACAACTTTTGGCTTATCTGGAAACACCCAAACAGTCGACTACTGTTTCGGAGTTCTTTCGGCGTTATACTCGTAAATCCACAATTCATCACCGTCACCATGTCATAGACGTATTTCGAAGCACCGCTATCGTATATTTTAAACATTTTTCTTAACACGAGCCGTTTTTCGAGCGATTGACAAATTGTGTGAACAAATTTTTATTGCCGTTAAATTTTCTTGCAATATTGAATGTAGGCTGGTCCCACTAATGCTTATAGTTATCTCAATCAATCAGCTTCAGCGCCAAAAATTTAAAGTTCTTCGATGCAATGTTCCACGTCGAAAGTTATAAAAAAAATTATCGCGCGATATTCGCGATTTCATTCCATGTTTTTACCGAGATGAATATTTTAAGTTACTGAAATATAACTCTTATGTCAAAACGTCCTGCGCTCTTTTCTCTCTAATAAGCTGCTCATTTGTCGGAAACACCGATATCGCACCACTATAGCATAATCGTACAGCTACCATACAAACTAAAGGATCCAAATCAAACTTTTGCATGGAAAACTTTTTCAATTGACGAGATATCTTCACGAAATTTGGCATGGACTATTGTCCAAGGCAAGGGGGTACAACCTCCGAAGATATTGTTCAGTTGGGATCACTATAGCATATAGCTGCCATACAAACTGACCGATCAAAATGAATTTTTTGTAAGGAATATTTTTTATTTGTGAAGCTATAATAGCTTCGGTGAAACCGAAGTTAAAACTTTTTCTTGCTTTATACACTGCACAGTCACATAATGGTTATAAGAGAAAAAAAAGATGCGGTCTTTTTAACATCTCTTTTTATACCGAACTTGGAGAAAATCATTGCAGTACAATATATTATTGTATTTTATGCTATGTTATGGTGTCATAACTACGTCACGAATAATTACATATTTAGTAAACTCGCAATGCATTTTAGGTAAAAATTCATATCCCACAAATTACTTGAGCGATTTTATATACATATGTACATAACATTATATACATACAGATGTTTACATACAAAACATTTCATAACACCCTTTTAACTACAATAAAAAACTTAATTCTTAGCTTATTCAGCTGGTTTGACTTTCCAAACATCAGTTAGAATATCGAAATGAACTTAGCTTATATGGAATTTTTTTTGGAATATTGATGAAGTTGTGGTGTTCTAAACAAAAAAAAATTTCGAAATAATTTAAGGAATACTTTTCTCCTAGCGCTCATATATCGAATATGAGTATCTCCCTCCCTCTAATGGACTACATACTTACAGTTCGAAAGATTTCACACGCTTTTTGTACTTATAAAATGTGTGGAATTTGATTTTCCATACTTTATATACATTTAAATATATGATATATAAATATTTTCTTATCTTTATAAAATTTGTAATTTCTTTTATTTTTTATAATTTATTTTTATTGCAAATACCACTCCTTGAATCTGATATTAATAGCCACAATGACACATAGCTAACTTAACTAAAGCAGACTAAAAAAGTGTCCCACGCCAAGTATCGTACATCATAACTACCATACATATCATATAGCAGATTTTGTAAGCACACACGCACACGCACACAAACATATGTGTATAGTAATCGTGGTGTATATTTACAAAATGATAAGCTGTCATACAAAGCCACTTGTGTCAACGATGATCAGTCCACACGCTAATTGAAAACGGAAATACGCGTCACCGAACTGGAGGAAAAATATTTATTTTTTCGAGGCAAATTACGAAAATTTATTTGCTGCACTAAATTTATGCAAAATAAATTTAATAATAGTTATAAAATTAAAAAATATATTTAGAAATCTATCTTATTTTTGTCGTGTGCGCTTTATAAAAGTGGCACATGGAATTTCGCTTGTCAATAATTAATATCGCTTCTCGCAAGTTTACAAACGTGTTGAAAATGCTCAAAAATATATTTCTCTCTATATGTGGGCACAGAGTATGTGTGTGTGTGTGTGTGTGTTACTTCAGGTGACATGAAATCGTCGTAGAAAATTTGCATTACTAAAATATTCTCGCAGTGCACAATAGATGGAGAGTAGTAGACCCACAACGGCGATAACAAATACGAGCGGTGTGCCGAGCAGTATCATCACGAAAAGTTTCACATCGCCACATTTCGCCAATGTCATCCACCAAAGCAAACGCCGCGCTGTATTTCGCATCAGAATACAACTACGCCAACAACCATAGCTGCTGTTGGTGAAACGTAGCAGGGTGAATAGCATCAGTTGCAATAGCCACAGCGTCCAGGCGCAGGCTCGGTACAGCAATTCGCTTATACGCTGATAATATGAACTCTTATAGATTCTGCTCGTGAATGCTGTGGCTTGTTGACGTCGCTTGGGGCTCAGCACACGATCGCCATAGTAAATGAGCAGTCGCCGCAGTTGTCGCTCGATGCCACTACTACGGTTAGCGTTACTTCGCTGTGGCGGTTGATAAGCTTCCAATTCGCGTCTGTACTCGGTATCCGAATCGGTTTCCACCAGCTCTAGGCGGCGTTGTTGTGTCAGCGCCGCCAGTGTTGGCTTGCTGCCGAACATGCTGAGATCGCCCTCATAGTTGCCGTTATAACAGATGACGCTGGCCGTTGTCGTCGGTGACATCCCTCGTGCGGTACTAAAGGAATAGAAGAGAAAATTAGTTGAAAAAAAAAATAATCGTTTATTGTGGTTTTGTGGTTTGTTCTTATTACCGTCGCGCTGAGTTGAAGCAAACTCCGCTGGCGTTGCTCATGTGTGGTGCGGCGCTTTGAGCCGCCAATAGTGGCACGTAATTTAAACCATCGTTGTATGTGTGCATTGCAGGCCGAGGCTTCTAAATTTTCGTTGATATCTTGAAATGCAAAATAAAGCAATCAGCTTCTATTTTTTTGTTTTGTAAAATAAATTCTTTCTTTTGTTTGTTTTTAAATATCCAAATTACTTTTGTTTTGAAATATTATGTGTGTTCTTTTAATTGTAATCTCAACGCCTTGTTGAGTTCATTTTTTTTTTCATTTATCGAATAAATAGAGTTTTCGTGCTTCAATATTTAATATTTGAAAAATCTTCCGAGTAATAATTTTTAACCACTTATTACGCAATTTTAATGAAGTTTGAATATAATTTAATGAAGTCTAATATATGAATGCTGTCGTTTCTACGCAACCGTATTGTGCTTTACCATCTGATCACATTTTACCCTGATTTTTCGCTTTCGGTTCATTTATGGACGGTTTCGCTTCATACCCAAAACATTAACGAAAATGTGCAGAGTCGATCCATAAGAGATGTTGAGATCCTCTGTTATCCCTCTGATGCCAACAAGACGATTTTCAAGCACTGTTTCGATGATATTGTAAGTTATCGATGACTTCAAGATCTAGATAAAAAAGTTGTACCAAAAAAAAACTATCGATTCGGTTTGCATGCGCAGTATAAACGATTCAGTCTGGGATAAATTTGATTAGATGGTATTTCAAAAAAATTCTATGCCATAAAAAATACAAAGTTATCTAGTAGAACTCAACACAAAATACTATATGGGATTACTTATAAAGTGCAGTTGCTTCTTCGTTTCGCCACTCGGCAAAATTCGAACAATAGATAACAGATAGTATATGTATGTATCGATCAGTTTTTTTACTGAGCATAATAAGTTCAAAACTCATCTCCCGCAAATTAATTTATTAGTGCCTTACGAGCTTTTTAAGAGATATTACACATATTGGGTTTGCCTGTGACGTGGACTTTGTGAAAATGAGTTTTGAGTTCCGACGTGATAGAAAATAAAATTATTTAAATGTCATATCTCAATAGTGTATGAACTCACCTCATTTTAATGAATTGTTTGTTATGAAGCACTTCGCTTGGAAAATCGTAGCAAAACGCCAGAAGATTTCGGGTAGAGCTCCTAAAAAAATGTTAGCTATCGGTTAGGATAGGTTAGGCTGGATCGTAGAGTTGCTCCTCGCATCAATGTTCTTGGTGTTACCCAAAACTCGAGATCGTCGAAGTGTTTTAATCATAGCACCAATATGTTGAAGCGGCTAATATCAATTCCAACCGTTGCACTAGGTTTGCCGAAGGTGTGACTATCGACATACATATTTCAACTTCAATTTGACAAAAGCTGGGTAATAGAGAGGAAAGTAACTAAATTATTCCACCTCGCCTTCTTCCGTACAGCTTTAGCTAAGTCCATCCGGTAAGATGTTTAGCCGTACCGCGTGTGCTTTTGCGAAATGAACTTTGCTAAGAATATGTAGCTCAGAGGACCTTTTACGTTCCACTCTGTAGTGACGCTGTAGCGTATTTAAAAACATTAATCTGAACATTTACTTTTCGTAAAAACATTAAACTGAACTTTTTTTTGAATTCGATAAAGATTTTTTTTACTTCAAAAGTGCTTTTAACCTACAAAAAAAACCTAACCTGTTCGAAAAACAATAAAAATAAAAAGTAAATGTTCCGTTATTATTTCAAATAGTGTATCGACTTCTTTAAGAACTAACGATTTTACAGATTTAAGTAAAATTGCATATATTTAACGCACATTTCTGTGCGCCGAAAAGTAGGCAACGTTGTCACAATTTACCACTCGACATGGTAAACATCCATTTATCATATATCGCACAAAATATCAAATCGTGGTTAACGGTGCTCCCGAACGGTTTTCCCGTACATTGAATACCCGCTGCTGTTATCTACAATCACCATGTACTTTTTTTTCAATAAAATTACAAATGTTTACAAACATACATATGTACATACAACGTAGTCAATAAATAAATTAATACATGTGTTATTTTCACTTTTTTTTTGCAGTTGCATGTTATGCCTGTATACTCGTATGTGTGCTGCCGACAGCCCATTGAATCATCAACGCGTTTCTAAAGCCAGATAAAAGCTGGAACTATGCTGCAAATAATTTAATCATCTGGAGCAATTGCGACTTTATCACCGCACTGCTAAGTTAATATAAATATACATACACATATATACGCGTGTATGTATCTGTACGCATATATAATATTTATATAGCATCAGAGTCAGTCTACTTTTCGTTCTCTCTATCAAAACATTGGCGCATCCGCCAAACGCTCAACGCAAAATGTCAGCAATAACAGTAACTTATTGCAAATTATTTTCGCAACTCGTCATATTGTTGAGCATAATCAACATTGTCTATTCGAATGATATGCTAGTCAGTCTATCTGAGGGGTTGGATGGACCCAATGTTTGCAAGAAGCGTGAGAAGTGAGTATAAAATGCGTTTTAATAAAAAATAATTAATTTTTCTAATATTTACAATATCTCACTTACAGTTATCCCGTCGAAGTAACAACCACCGAATTGCAGTCATATCAGGAGCGTCAAACGGTTTGGTGTCTTAATGTGCCCCCGCGCTGCTCCTCATATCAAATAAAACATCGTACGGTTAATAAAACGCGTACACTTATGAAAACGCGCATAGTGCGCGCTTGCTGTGGTGCGTATGTTAGACTAAGGGTGCACTAAATTAATATACATATATTTGAAAATTTTCAGAATTGTAGAAAAATGTGAAAAAGATCTTCATAAAATTCTATATGGCGTGAAATTCCATAAGCTTTTCAGAATTGTAGAAAACCCCTTAAAAAAATCCTTGAGCTGTGCATAGGCGCTTAAATGATTCATAGACAGTGAAATGTTCAATATGTTCTATGCTAAAACTTAAGCTTAATTTATAGTTTCAGATTTAGCAGCACTTATAGCGTCAGAGGTGCTATTTTTAAGTCAAGGCAACAAAAAAAAACACACACACAAAATCTTTACCTTAATATCTTAAGTCGACTTAAGAGAGACTACTACTCTACTTTCGCGCTAAAATTTCGGCGATTTTTTTACTTTATCTTATGCCACTTTAAGCTACCGAGCTTCAAAGTATTTCCTCAAATAGATAGCATATATCAAATACATATAAGTAAAGAAGAGGTAAGTAAGTCACGGGATTTTTTCGGAAATCTAATTTTGCCTTTTCAAATAATGAATATTCATATTATTACTCAATAGTCAGAAAAACCGTAGTTCCAATTACTAAAAATCTAAATGTAATTACAATGTTAGGTCAAGTAAAAAGATGGTCCATCATGTTTTTTTGCGTTAGTTCGTGTGGCGCCCAAACATCGAGCTTCTTTTTGAATCCAAGATTATGCAAATGGTTCCAAACGGTTTTCTGGCTTATCTTTAGCTCCTCAGCAATTAAATAAGTGCTCACGTGACGTTCTGTTTCCACTATTTCCATGATTTTATCGCAATTTTCGACGGCAGGCCTCCCGACGCGTGGTGCATCTTTGACATTGAAACCACTTTTGTGATACACGTTCGTTTACCGTATCGGGCCCATAAACTAAATTAATGTTTTCAACCGCTTTGGCTGCTTTTTCGCTTTGATCGAAGAAAAATTGGAAGAAATAGCGAATTTTTTCTTTACTGGTGTCCATCTTTGACGAGCGCTCACAACGTACTGAGTCAATCAATCGAAAGCCCGCAATCAACATGCCTTTGTATTAGATTGCATTAAAAAAATTTTAAATTGTCGATGAATTAACATTAGTGATAGTATTTAGGTTATCGATAGTTATTTCAAGCGAGTCTTTCTTATTCTCTATTTTGTTTTTTGTTTTTTTTTTGTTGTTCCTTAATAGACATTGATATTTGGCGATGAATATGTCATTAATGGAAAAATTATATAGACCACCAGAGAATTTCCTACAAGACAATGAGCTTTGCAATTTAAACTGATTTTTTTCATTGTGTTGTTGTGAAAATTCAAAAGAAAAAAACAAAATTTCCTTAAAATAGTCAAACTTCAACCGTTAATATCTCTTCAAGGGTTAGGTTTACGAAAAAATCGTAGAAGATCATTTTAAAGAGCATTCAATTTCCTACAAAATATATAGAACGAAATATGTATGATTCAAGTAGTTAGAAGCGAGATATGAATTTTTCGATCTGATAAAAAGGAAATAATATAAAAACGTTACGCGGAGGACCTTCACTTAAAATCAATAGCTCATACTTGGAGAGCTTTTCTTAGAGGTGTCTATCAACCACTTTTACACTTTCCCTAATACATATGTATATATATTAGGATGGATAAAAAAATTAATGTTTTTTTCGCTTTGTACTCATATATATATTATATAATCAAACCATTACGTTTTATAAATTACATATAATATTAATAACTTTTACTCTTTCAGATGGTTACACTGAAAACCCGAACGGCGATGGCTGTATACCGAAGTGTACACACGACTGCGAACATGGCAAATGTATCGCACCGGAGAAGTGTAAATGCGAACAAGGCTGGGGTGGCGATACCTGCGATTTAAGTTCGTTAAATTTGTTTTTTAATTATATTACTAACAAAATGTTTGTATTACATAAGCGTGATTCTACTATTTTAAGGCGGTCTTTTTCCCTGTTCTACCTGAAAATCTGATGCTTTATAAAAAATATAAATATGAAATACCGGCTTCGCTAATGCAAAAATTCAATTTTTAAAATAAATAACACCGGCAATTTTTTTCGTCGGGCATCAAATTTTCTTCGAAAGTAAATTAAAATATAAAAAAATTTTGTGCAGTTCATTTTAGAGTGGTTTATGAAATACAAAAGTTAATATTTTCTTAATGTCAATAATATATATATATTTTGTGCCCTACAAAAACTATACACATGTTTTTTCCAAAAAAAAGTCGCTTCGAAATACGAATTGAAAAAAATTTAATTTTTGAATGAGCTAGACAATACAAAAAACCTTTTACGTGGTGGCATAATTTTTTATAAAGTATCAGATTTCCAGGTGGCACAGAGAAAAAAATAGCGTTTAAAAATGAATCACCCTAATATTACATACATATGCTGAAAACTACACCATAGACGCATGGAACTTTCAATTTTCAAATAAACTAAGTAAAAATGTACAAGTTGTCAACCAGATTAATGCTACTGGATTAAGCTATATTGTTGTGGTAATACGTAACTATTTTAATTAAATATTTTCGAGATTGCTTATTAAAAAACACTCAAAAATGGTGAAAATTAGCTGCGTCTTTGGTGCGTACGTGTAGCATCAGCGTATGTATACGACGCTACGGTAGTGCCAATTAAGTGCAACTACTGATTTTTCTTTAAATACACTCTTTAATAAGGTTTCGAAAACACTATACGATGTTCATGTAGAATTCTCTAAAAAAATTTTAATTAATTTTATATTAATAAATATGTATAAATTGCACTAAATTGACATGACGTAGCGCTACTGATATAAATAAGCGTTTATAGGTAAGGTTTTTGTTCATTTCTGCTTATTGTTGCTTTTGAAAGTTTGGTTGTTCAATTGTTTTTGCTTTTTTGTATTTTTTTGTTGTAATATTTATTTGCTATTTTTTGCTTTGCATGTTCACAGCACGTTTGTTTGTGTTTTCGCACAATTTTTTTTGTTTCTTTGTATGTAGCTATGTATATGTAGGTATGATTGGACCCTAGGCTCGATGTATATTTTTCATTTTTTTTTTATGGAGTACATTTGTATACTTTTTGCCTTCGATTAAAATTGTGTGTATCAACAATTGATACAGTTTTTATTTATTGCTACCGATTTTAATTAACTATCCCTACAACTAAATAAATAACTTATTGCCTATTAATAAAAATTTTACTTGTTGTTGACAACTTTTATATTTTTCAAAATAACTACTTACTTGTATAATATTCATCAGAAATTGTATTCTCCATGCAAGAAAACAGTTGTAGTATTTTTTTTTTGGTTTTTTTGTTAAAAAGAATTATTCGATGTTGTTTCCTCTATATATGCTACAATCTTTTATAAATAATTCTAAAACAAGTAATTTTGAATTTTCGAAAAGTAGAAAATATAATTGCATAAATTTGTTCTAGCGTTTGCTTTAGTCGATTAATCGAAATACTACATTTTTTTGAAAGACCTTTTGTACTCAGAAACTGCTATTCAATGTTATGCTAAAAACAACAAAAAACGTTAACTTCAGTTGCACCGAATCTGCAATACCCCTCACAAATACACAAGATTCCTTACAAGAACTTGAGTTTGTTCGATCAGTTGGGAACAGATATTAATTATTTGTAAGCCAATGTTATGCATGATATACGATACATTATACCTATACCATATACATTAGGGTGCTTTTAATGTTTGATCAATTTAAATTAAAATGGGGTCGCTATTTCAGTTAAGCAACAGGGCTTATGCTTGGTGAGAATTTTTATACCCTGAACAATATTGTCCAAAAGAACCCTACAATTTTCGAAGAAATTTTTCTGATTGGACCACTGTGGCATAAACTGCTATACAAACTGGACGTTTAAAATCAAGTTCTTGTATAGAAAACTTTTTTATTTGACAAGATATCTTCACAAAATTCGGCATGAGTTATTGTGCAAGGCAGCACTACAATTTTCGAATATCTTGTTCAGATCGGACCACTATAGTAAACAGCTGTTATACTAACTGACTTAAAATCAAGTTCTTGTATGTACATTTTTTTATGTTTTTTTTTTTTGTTTTTGTGTCTGTAATTTAAGTCAACCGTTTTTCTTGTTTTAACATTAAATAGACACATTTGAAAAAAAATAAATATTTTTGAAGCACCCTAATATACATACCATACACACCTCACTTTCTGATCACGACAAACGTGCTGAAAATTCTTTTGATTTGAAAATAACTATTTTTTGTGCAAGAGCTTTCGCTTATATCAAATTTTATATCTTTTTCACTTTTAATTACCACTTTTGCCATTTTTATTTAACGCAAGCGTAGAACACCTCCCACTCACTTACCTATACAAACACAGCAGAACAGTATAAACCGCTAACGTGTCCTTTGAAAAAACTAATAATCCTTTTTCCCTGCTAATGTCTCCACAAATGCTTCGCTTTACGTGCGTAAATCTAAAAATATAACTGTGTGGCAATACTAATAACAAAATAGCTAACGGTCTATCTCCCTGCCATCGAACGGCACTGTGCATTATAATGAAAATGAGCTAAAAGCAACGAAAGCAAAATAGCAAAATGTGTTTTTTTTTTCGTATGCACATAAATAATCGAACGATAATTCCAATACAGATTGTCCAGCGGGTTATTGGGGACGTGATTGCAGCAAGCAGTGCGACTGCTTGAATAATGCCACCTGTGACCCGGCTACCGGCGAATGCGAGTGCGCCAAAGGATATCAGGGGGAGAAGTGTGGCGACACATGTCCGCCAGATCATTACGGTGCCAAGTGTATGGAGGAGTGTCGCTGTGAGAATGGCGGCAGCTGTCATCACATTTCGGGCGAATGCAGTTGTGCACCCGGTTATACGGGGCCATTGTAAGTTTGCACGGGTTTTGGCTTACTAACGCTAGTTTATAAAATTCCGCTGGCCATATATATTTTACATGTATATACTACTGTATGGCTAGCCTAGTTCTCCACCCAACTTGTTTTATTGTATTGTTCTTTTGTTTTTCGTTTTGTTTTCGTGTCTTCATGCCACAACAAGATGTGAGAGTTTATGTCCAGACGGCAAACACGGTGTGCAGTGCAAACAAGATTGTCGCTGTCAGAATGACGGCACATGCGATCCGCGCAGTGGCGCTTGCCTGTGTCCGCCCGGTTGGACGGGTGACGTTTGCGCCAATAAATGTCCGATTGGTTTCTATGGCGCACAGTGTAAGGAGCAATGCGAATGTTTCAAAGGTGGACCGTGTCATCACATCAGCGGCCGCTGTGAATGCCCACCTGGCTATTTGGGTGAGCTGTGCTACGACGAGTGTCCGCTCAACACTTACGGCTTGAATTGTACGGAGAAATGCAAGTGTCAGAATGATGGCGCCTGTGACAAGGCGACAGGCGCTTGTGAATGTGCGCCCGGCTGGAAAGGCGATGATTGCAGCGAACGCATTTGCACATTCGACAAGTACGGCGACGATTGTAATAAGACGTGTGATTGTGATGCGCTCAACACGCACTACTGTCATCCGGTGACGGGCAAGTGTTACTGCCAGAATGGCTGGAGCGGCGCACAATGTAATCGACCATGTCCGTTCCTGAAGTATGGACCGAGTTGTGAATTGAATTGTGAGTGTGCGAATTCGGCGCGTTGTTCGCCCGTCAATGGCACGTGTATATGCGCGCCAGGCTATCAGGGTGAGCGTTGCGAGGAGCGCTGTCCGGAGGGACGTTACGGACAGGATTGCGCACAGAAATGCGATTGTCGGAATGGCGCTTTGTGCTCACATGAGACGGGTCAATGCAGCTGCACCGCCGGTTGGCGCAACATCAAATGCGATCGTCCGTGCGATCTGAATTATTATGGTGAAAATTGTAAATTTAAGTGTAATTGCTATAATAATGCCGGCTGTAATCCACAAAATGGCACTTGCACTTGCGCCCCCGGTTGGATGGGTGAGAAGTGCGATCAGAAATGCGAGCCGTTCACCTTTGGTCTCGGCTGCGAGTTGCAATGCGAATGTGATGTGAATAATACGATCGCCTGTGATTCTGCGAGCGGGAAGTGTGTCTGCAAGCAGGGTTTGGGAGGTAGGTTTTCCTGAAGTGGGTGGGTGGGTGGTTTGTCGGAGCAGCTGCATCGTCTAAACTATGTGTATACACGTATACATTCATACATATCCCCCATATAAAGCCATTAATCCATACACGCCTTCATCAGTAGACACTCTTTCATACTACAAACGCATCGTAAGAAACTTTATTTGAATTGTGACCATAGTATTGACTTAAAATTTTGAATTACATTATGACTTCATTTTTAATATTTCTCATTCAAAAACTAACATGAAATGCTTTGAGTTAAGTCTATTCAAAATAGACGCTTTCAAATTCGATTTCAAAAACCATTTTTTATATACATATTTTTTTGAAATAGTACTTAAAATTTGAAATTATGAAAAATCATATAATTGCAGTTTGAATAAAATAAGAAGCATTACATTTTTTTTTTAAACAAAAAATCTTGTATTAATTTCTAAAAGGTTTTTTTTTAATATTTTAATTTATAAAAAAAATGTATATAAAATGTAATTAATAGCAATTGAATTAATTTTTTTTCAAAATTTTCAAAAACGGTTTTTCAAATCTATATTTTTTAAATTTTAAAATTTAAAGTCATAGAATTTTATATAACTTAAGTTTCAAGAAAAAATTTGGTATTACACAATTTTTTTGTATACCAAAAATCCTTATTACTTTTTTTTTTAATATTTCAAATTTAAATTGTTATTTTTATGAAAAAACTTTTTTGAATTCATCAAATTGTAATAAAATATTTTTTAAAAAATGTTTCAAATACATTTTTATCATACATTATTTTAATAATACATAAAATTGGAAATTATAAAAAATTATATAACTCCAAATAAAACAAAAAAGTATTACATATTTTTTATACTAAAAATCATGTATTACATTTTTGTTTTAAATTTTATTTAAATATTACATTTTTTTATTTAAAAATTTCATAATCTACAAAACAGTTTTTTTTCGAGTTTTAAAACATTGTTTATAATTTAATATTTATTTTGTATTAAAACTATATCAGAAATCTTCATAAAACAACTTACAGTAACTACACGAAGCAATATAGTAAAAATATAAAAAAATAAAAAGTTAAAGAATTGAAATAATATTTAAAAAAATTTTTTAAATAAAAAAGATATAAATTATAAAAAAATTCGAAATATTTTTTTTATATTTAATACATTTTTTTAAATAAAAAAGATATAAATTTAAAAAAAAATCGAAATATTTTTTTATATTTTATAAATTTTTAATTTTTAATAACTTTCTTAAATATGTCATATAAAATTTTTAACATTACCTTAAATATTTGGCTATATAAATTAGATACTTATAGAATTTTGTAGAAAGCAATTTTTTAGAAATTATTTTTGTTAAACAAACATATTCAAACTAATTAACAAATTAGGATATATTAACCTCATATTTATCGAAGCACATTTTTCACTCAAAAGCATGAACATTCCTACACAATTCCTCTCCCCTCTACAAATTCACGCATAAACACAAAACAACACACACATACATAAAATAACACACTTTTTTATAACGGTTAATTTCAATTATGGTATTTCTCTTTTTTTATCCATAACTTTCGTTCCATTACGTTGCTGTATTTATTGTTCGTACGTTTTCGTTGCGTTGCATTGTTTACGTTTACGTTAACTTTGTTTTTGTGGGCAAAAATATTTTGCGACCAAAAATTATGCATAAAAAGGTGTACATTGCGAAACCAATTGTCCCGTTGGCTATTATGGTGAAAATTGTGATCAAGTTTGCAGATGCCTGAACAACTCTTCCTGCGATCCCGATACTGGACGTTGTATTTGTGCGGCTGGCTGGACTGGCATTGACTGTTCAGAGCCGTGTTCGCATGGCTTCTTCGGCGTTGGCTGTAAGGAACGCTGTCCCGATTCGGCGCAAAGTAAGTGAAATCTTATCTTTTCCACAAAATTCATAAATTATAATCGTTTTCACTTGCCAGATAATACCAGCTGCGATCACATTACCGGTGAGATTGTCTGCCGTCCCGGCTATATTGGTTTGACCTGTAAGCATCCCTGTCCGAACGGTTACTATGGTCCTGGCTGTAAGAATAAATGTCATTGTGAAAATGGCGGCGAGTGTAATCACGTATCCGGCCAATGCTTGTGCTTGCCGGGTTGGACTGGCGCCAATTGTAACATTTCTTGTCCGGATGAATACTACGGTCCCAATTGTGCACAACACTGTCGTTGCCAAAATGGTGGCACTTGTCGCAAGAATGATGGTTTCTGTGTTTGTCCAGCCGGCTGGATGGGTACACGTTGTGAAGAAGGTAAGACCACGCCGCATCGAAATCGATTTTGTTTGCAGTTGTTAGTGTTCAACAATCTGATTATTAGAAATTATTTCCGATTCTATCTTGTTCCTCATTTCCACTAACTTCAAAACGAAATTATATATAAAATTTGGAATTCTGTATTCCGAATATTTTGATATCCGAAAATCTAAATGAAAAACTCCTATATTCAGATATTCGAATATAATATTTGGATATACGGATATCAGATCAACTAACAGCAAATAAAAAATAGGCAATAGAGAATGCTAATAGGCGTCGGCAATATTGGGAGTTCACAGCAAAAAAAAACTTTGATTACACTGAAACTATAATATCCTTCACGTATGCATTTTTTTAGGCAAAAAAGAGTATAAAAAGATATTTGTTTTCATTTTGATCGATTAGTTTGAAAGCCAGCTATATGCTATAGTGGTCCGATCTGAACAATTTGTTCGAAGATTGTTGCTTTGGCTTGGATAATGCATGCCAAATTTCCTGAAGATATCACGTCAAAGATATCACGTCAAATAAAAAAGTTTTCCATTGATTTTAAGTGATAAGTTTGTATGACAGATATGTGCTATAGTGGACAAATGAGCAGTTTCCATGGGAGAAAAGGACGTGTGCAAAATTTTAGATCGATATCTCACCCTGAGAGACTTGCTCGCATATATACAAAAAGAAAAAAGGACAGCTCATTACGCTGATTATTTATATGATATATATATTTCATAGGGTCTTCGACTTATAAACTTCGTGGATATAAATAAAATTAATGGAATAACCGTACTAACCGGTTTTTATACGGTTAAACGAATAATCCGTATTGAAGTCCATACATTGAAAAATACGTATACTTATCACAATTTGTTGACTGAAATAAAAACTCTCGTTGCTCAAACTTATATTTATTTCTACTTTTACACTTTACAGTCTGTCCCGAAGGTTTCTACGGCAAACACTGCATCACTCAATGCGAATGTCCATCACAGAACTTCGTCTGCCACATTGCTGTCGGCTGTGTTTGCCGCAAGGGTTATACCGGCGACAATTGTGATAGGCTGTTGGCGGAAGAACGCATACAAGAGGCACAGGCGGGATGTGAGTATACAGTATGCTTTCATTAAACAATTCTAAATGGCTATTATTTGAATTTTACAGCCAATCGTTCAGCCGTCATCTGGGGTTCATTCATATTCCTCATTTTATGCGGCATAATTATGGCACTGGTATTCTATTATCGTCGTCGTGTCTCGAATTTGAAAACTGAAATCCAACATGTGCAGTATATAAGCGATCCAAGCCAGAATAGGGTAGGTCGGCATAATTTCGATAATCCCGTTTACGGTTTCCCAGAGCAACAGCAACAACAACGCTTACTCAACAAGATGCGCCCACATATCAATAATTTGGGGCGATGTGATTTATACAATTATAACTCAAATTCCAGCACCGGATGTGCGTATTAAATAAAAATAAGTGTATGTTGTTGTAATAATTTATAGTATTTTCTCTCCTTACTTTTCAGCTGCTTCGTATTCTGGCAACATTTCCGATGATAAGTTTGTCAAGAATTTTAATGCCGATCTCACCAATCCGAATATAGATTATGCGTATGAAGATCCCTTGAAAGTGGAGCATGTTTACGATGAAATCAAGCAGAAAGAGGGTTACAATAATCCCGGTAAGTATTTTTCTGTTCGATTTTTCATCACATATCTACATATTTGAATGCATTTGTAATTTCATCAATTTTAACACGCAAAAAACGCAAACGCCAATTTAATGCGAAACACACATACATGCATATGTATGTGCTTACTTAGTCAAAGTCTATTGCAAGAAACTATTTCCTGAGGGTAAGAAAACGAATTCAAGCCAACTATATGTGATCTGGTGTGCGTATATACCTACATATATATCGTCCATTTTTCCTATAGTTTTTTGTATATTCTTAGAAATTTGGTTATTGTTCGTTCTATAGTATGTTTTTATGTTTACTCGTTGACACTTTTACTAGCACGTTAATAGTGTATATTGTAGTTCAACAAATTCATTATATGGTGGATTAAACAGGCGAAGTACCCAAACAAAAAAAAAGAAAAAAAACAAAGTAGAAAAACCAAATCGTTTTTATTTGAGGGATTTATTATCATATCAGCAGCACAAAAACCGGAAGTACAAGGATAAAGCAATGATCAAAAAATCGAAACCAATGAAAAAAGAAAACATGTGAAATTCGGTTTCACCGAAGCTATAATACCCTTTACATGTACAACAGATTTCTTACAAGTACTGCATTTTGATTCGTCAATTTGTATGTCAGTTGTCATAAAGTTGTCTGATCTGAACAATTTCTTTAGAGAGTGTACTGTTGCCTCGTACAATAATTTTTTTTTATACCTAATTTCGCGGAGATATTTTGTCAACTAAAAAATTGTCCACAGTTTTGAAACTACACACACTAAATTTGCACACTAAAATTGATTTTTTAGAACAAAAAAAATTTTGAGAGCAGGTCCTCTTAGCTCCTCACAGAACTGAAAAAGTTTTTTGATATAACATATCTTGCCATCTGATCAAATTAGACCCGGACCGACAAAAAAAAAACTACATTTAGCCTTCAGAGTCGTCAGCGACTCTTTTTTTTCGACTCATTTTCACTTCATTGGAGCGCCATTATGCCACAATGCCATTTTCATAAACCCACGTCTCGTCAACAGTAATTATGCGTTGTGTGAATGTAGAGTCCTTGGCAAGAGTTGGCAAGCAATTTTTTGCGACATCTATTCGATCGTGCCTCCATTGACACCCTTGTTACCCAAAATATTAACCAAAATGAGTTGAGTCGTTCCATAAGAAATCTGGGCGTGGTAAAGCCCGATTTTATGCTTGATAGAAGTAGATCTATTAAAATTTTTTACTAAAAATTTATAAAACTTGAACATTTCTGTATTCTTAAGACCATGCGCTAAATTTTTGTTTGAAGTAGTTATTGAAATTATGCACTTGTTGTGTTTTTGTGGGCGTGGTAATATTTCCATTACGTTTAGTTACGGAATCCCTTACTTTGTATCAGCTTAAAACTTCTTCCAAATTTTATCAAGATACTGTTTCCGAGTAACGTGAGTCATACAGACAGCTTAACCAATATTAAAAATTGTGTATATATCTATCTCTAATATATATAATATAAAAAGGAATCGCTGTCTTCTATTTGCTTCGAAGTTAACAAAGTTTTATTTTTTTACACATTAGGGTGGACGAAGAAAAACTTAAGAAAAACTTTACTTTTTGTTTGCTTACATACCGTGAAAATACCATGAGAATTTGTTCAATTATTATTGTATAGTGAAAATTACAAAATTATTCTTATAGGAAATTTAACACTCAACAAGAAAGGTCCGATGTGTTTTTCTGCTCAACCCACTCGTTCAAAAGTTATTCGTGGTCAAAGTCCAACCTTAAATCGTAAAATATAATTTTTACATATTTTTGTATTATTTCACAAAGTAATGCCTCAACATCAGGCCTACCCTAATATGCATACATATAAATGTCATTTTATACACTAATCTCAACTCTAGAACACTATATTCAACTCTCATGTTAATTTCCAGTCCTTTTTCGCAACAACTTCAACGCTTTAGATAGCACCGCTTACTTGCTTCGTTTAAATATTCCCACGCATTGTTCTTTAAATACTTGTACATCTCAAATAACTTTGTTTTGTTAATTGTTTAGTGTCTTATTTAATTATCTTTATTGCAAAATGAAATATATAAATAAATATTAACTCATATTCTTAGATGAGTACGACCACTTGGATTACTCGCGGCCGAGTACGTCGCAGAAGACGCACTATCATCGCATGAACGACACGACGCTCAATATAAATCGCGACGAAGAGAAACCGAACAACTTCAAAGCAATGGACCAACTGTTAGAGAAGCCAAACGCTGCAAATGGCAATGCACTGACGGCATTCGAGGAAGCGCCAGAAGAAGAAGAAGCCTCAACGTCTCTGGCAGCACTTACCAAGCAATATCTGGCAAGTGCTGAGGATACGACAAGTGATAGCATTTGCGATAATGCATCGACTGCCTCACCCAGTTCCAGTCAAGCTATATAAATATGTTCATCGGGAGCAATTTTTGTGCATACATACAGACATATATATATATAAATATTTTTTAAATGCGTTCAATTATATTTGCTAAGCAGTTTTGTAGAAATATGCAATTTATGCAGCGTGAACTCTAAAAATTCGTCAAATTGCTCGGGTTTGCGAACGAAATTTTTTTAAAATTATTTTTTATATGAAATAGCTGCAAGCAATACATATTATGCAATAATTAATTTCTGCAAGAATTTTGGTGATTTTTACTGTTTTTATAATTATTTTTAACATATTCAGCGCTTGCCTTGTTGTTGTGTCAACGTAAAAATTTTTTTTTGGCGATTTCTAGAGTTCACGCTCAGGATATGCAAGAGTCACGCTCTCATATTTTTATGCAGCACCACACGTTTTCATGAGTGTAGGTGTGAATCACGACGCGTGTCATACATATTTATACATATGTAGATATTTTCAATTTGTCTATTATTTATTCACTTGTATGTTTATGTATTTGGAACTGATGAGTATATTATTACACCTATATATTTGTATATTTCTATGCTCGAATAATATTTGTATATTTTTAAAGCTTTTATTTCTAATATAAATTCATTTAAAGCAGCGAAAAACTAATTAGCGAAATATTTATAATTTGAGACGGCAAATTATTAAAAAAAAAATTTTAGTTAATTTTTTGTTTTAATCAATTTTATTTTAATTGTTTTTATATTTTTTAATCAATAATTAATAACTTTTTAAATTTATTTACGATTTTGTTTAAATATTTTTTTATATATTAATCATAAATAATCAATATTATTTTTTTATATATTTTAATCAATACAATTTGAATTTTTTATTTCTTTCAAATTGATTTTTCTTTATTTTTTAATTTTTTTAAATTTTTTTAGTTTAATAGATATACATATATTATATACTAATACTTTTTTATTTACGTTTTTTTTTTTTAATATTTTTTTGTATGTATATTTTTTTATATTTTACAATTTTTTTTAGTTCTTATATTTTTTAAATAAAAAAAATGTTTATATTTTTTTGTTTTCGTTTATATTAATTTTTATTTTTTTATTATTTTTAGCATTTTTAATTTAAGAATCAAAACAGACTTTTGCATGTTTCAAAGTTAAGGCGTATGTATGGTCGCATCGGCATCTGTTGTGTGATTGATATTTTTATAATTAGTGATAGTGTGTTGTTTTAGATACATACAACAATATATTATCGTCGCATATACATGCCCATAAAATTATGATATTTACACAATTTAATGCAATTACATTTCTAAAAGAAAACTTTTACAAAAGCTTGTACAGTGCAAAATGTAAACATTTTTCGGAAAAAATTATAACTAATAAAAAAGATTTTTCAAAAACCGGCAAAAATTTAAATAAAGTTCAAAATTAGATAAATTGAAAAAAAAAACTAAATCAAGAAAAATTGTTATTGTACGCAAAATTATATAAATTTAAACTAATTAAAAAAGTTAAAATTTTTTTTAATAAATAAAAATTATAATGAAAAAAAAATTCACAATTTGGAAACTATTATCATGCCTAGAAACAAACCAAAATATGAATAAAATAGAATTCCAAATTTGAAAAACTTGGAATATTTTTTAGAAACAAGCAACTTGAAAAATAATTATGCCGACATTAAATAAAAATAATCGAAAGACATATAAAATGTTTGCTTTTTAGGCATCCAAATCGAAACACTTTGCTCAATTTTTTGAAACGAAACGCAATAATTATAAAAATTAATATACTTACTTGTACTGTAAACACAAATACATACATAAATGTTGTCAGTTATATAACGAGTACCTCTTCCCAATAAAAAGCAAAAAGAAAATATATATAAACAATTATATAGTGTAATGTATACATAAAGTATTTAAATTAAATATAACACCACATATCTTTCAAAATTAAAAATTATATATTTACAAGTGCATATAAGGAAACATACATACCTATGTAAATACGTATGTACGCAAATTAATGAGTGAGAAGCAGCAATAATTGAAACTAGATATTCAACAATTTTCGAACAGTTTTGTGCAAAAAAAATTAAAAGAAATTTACGAAAATAAAAATTGAATAGCAACAAAAGGAACCAAACGAAACTTCAAACAATACAATTACAAAATATTCGGCATAGAAAACATAAAACCCTTGCAATCAGGTTTAAAGTATTAAAAATCTAATTGAAATTAAAATATTAGGGTGTTAAATAAAAAAATATATACATTATATTAAAATTGATAAAAATTACAAATATACATATACAAAAAAACATACATATGTGAAACATTTCCAACAACTTTTTTTTTATTTTTTATGAATGTGAACAATATTTTGTAAAATTTTTAAACCCCTAGTATAAGATTTACAAAGTAAAAAAAAAATCATAATAATTTTCATGCGCCAAATTTTAAAAATAAACCTATGTTTAGTAATTGTTTGTAAGGTATATATACTTCTATATGTTAAAAAATTAAGTTATTTCATACCTATAAATATAATTTAGAAAAACAAAGAATCATTCGAGTGAGAAGCTACAAGAAAATGCAAAGCATATTACATAATTTACAATTCATAAGAAGAAGAAGAAGCATATAAAACCAGCAATCAGCACTTTGGTGTGAATATTAAACAACATTTAGCAGCCATATTGCAGCATTTTCAAATTGAAGCCCTGTGGCGCCCACTATATTTTCTATATATAAAATATATTATATAAATATATATTTTGTGTGCGAAATAATTGTGTTTATTACGAATTACTAGTACTCGTAGATACATATTGTACAATAGAGAATATGTTTATTGTAAATTAATAAATATTTTTAAACAAAAACAATTTTATGTAATTGTTTGTAGTTAAAACTCGTTGCAGATTTTTTTTGTTCTTCGAAAATAAAAATTAAAAAAAAAAAACACGTTAACTGTGACTGCACTAAAGCTCTTCACAAATAAAAGAAATTTCCAGCCCGATCAGTTTGTATGGCAGCTGTACGCTCCAATGATCCGATTTGAACAAAATGTTCGGATATTATACATAGTGTTGCCTTGAACGATAATCTGTGCAAAATTTCTAAGGACTTTGAACGCGATCAGTTTGTATGACAACTATATGCTATAGTGGTTCTATATCGGCGTTTCTAGCAAATAAGCAGCTTCTTGAGGAGAAAAAAATTTGAGCGAAATTTCAGATCGACATCTCAACTCAAACTGAGAAACTAGTTCACTTATATACGAACGAACAGACTGAATATACTTTTAAAGACCGCCAACGTTTCCTTCTGGGCATTACAAAAGTCGTGGCAAACTTAAAATACTCTATTCAGGTTATAAAAATTTGGATACAAAATTTCAAACAAGTAGAAATGTGGTTTTATAGACTTTAATAAACTAGATTTAGAATTGGTTCGATTTTGAAAATGTTTCGTATACCAAGTTTAACTTAATTCCGTAAGTCCCTTATACCAAAGTCGTCTCTTTAACTTTGTCGGTTGTGGACATAAGATACCTTTATGATTATACAAGTTGCCGTTAATATTTGGTGGACTAAAATTATGGATATAACATCAAAGTCTTCTGGATTTACACTGTGATCGCCTCTCTTCTTTTTCTTTCGAAACACTAAGAATATTCAATTCTGAACAATAAAGCAGCGAGCTTTAGCGAACTATTCTGATACTATTATTTTTCGCAAGTATTACGAGAAGTACTTAGTGAACAAAGGAAAAACGGTAGTTTTGGAAAAACTACGATTAATTTCCCGAAATTCGCTTTTAGCTGAATACGCGTGACCCCGCGATGTTCCGACTTTTTTTTGACGTGTAACTTTTTCTCGAGGCTACAAAAAAGCAGGTAGTCGTAGATATATACACACACAAAATGGTGTGCATCATATGTTGGCTTTTAGGCTGTCTTTTTCGGAGCAGCGACGCCGGCTGAAGTCCATTGTTTCGACTACTTTTTTGGTCTTAGTTGTGTGCTAGTGGATTCTTGTTTCATCATGAGATGAAGGAGAAAATTCGTATTGCGCTTTGACAACGAGCATCACCGACGTGAAGTGGTCTCGCCGCAGCTCCTACTGCCCGGAGAGAGCATACGCGGCAATAGCTTTCTTTGGCCCAATATTGCAAGATATGACTTATGTGGTCTTTTGAGATGTCTACTGTATCAATTAGTATATAGTACATCTTCAATCGGCGGTCTGCCAATACGAGATGCTGGACTTAAGTTAAGTTATTCTCCATGGTTGCTGATTTCGGGATTCCTAGTCGTAACTCATCAAGTAACAGCATTTCAATTCGTTAAACAAATTTTTGACTATCTGCATCGAAAAAGAAGACTCACTGTATACCTACCGATATTGGTATGGTGGCCATTTACAGAAAAGAAATACGTGATTAGAAGTATGGAAAGTATACAAAGAGCAGCCAGTATTTTCATCAGTGGAGCTCTCAGAACAACGCCAAGCCAGGCACTAAACGTAATTTTACAGCCAACAGACCTGTTTTGCAAACAAATGGCAGCGAAGTCGGCTCTGAGACTGAGCGAATCCTCCCTCCTATTCGCCAGAGACAAAGGGCGTTCCATGATACTTAGGAAGTTCTCGTTTCGTCCCATAACCACGGATTTTCGAAATCTTCGAGCTGAATCTAAATCCGGTCCCCAATATTGCCTTCTCCTCCAGAGAAGGTTGGGAAAGGCGCGTAATGGACTAGAAAGTAGGGATAAGCTTCTATACGGATGGTTCCAAACTAGATAACCGAGTAGGCGGCGGTGTCTTCTCAGCTAAACTAGATATCAAAATCGCCTGTGGACCACTGCAGTGTCTTCCAAGCGGAGGTCACGGCAATTAGAGAAAGTACAAGAAGTGTGATGACAACAAGAAATATATTTATGTATAAACAGGCAGCCAGAATAGAACATAAGCCGCACATGCCGACTTTTAAAATTCAAACGCAATGATATAAGAACTCTAGTAGGAGTACTAACAGGCCAATGTCTAATAAGCAGACATGCAAGTAGACTTGGTACGCTGTATAATGTGTATTGCAGAAGCTGTCAGGAGGTAGAAGAGGAGCAGACCATTAAACATCTGCTATGCGATTGCACAGCTCTATATAGGAAAAGAATCGCAGGCATCGGTCGAGGGTTTCTCAACGACGTCTCGGATGTTGCACGGATAAAACTGGTCTTACTGATGAAGTTCATCAGATGTACGGGGTGGTTCAGAGAGGAGCCAATAGAGTGAGGGGACCTTAGTACCGGTGGTATCACAATGGTCTTCCTAAAGGCCTAGGTGTGTCGAAAGACAGCCACTCTACCTACCTACCTATACCTACCGAAAACAAGAATCGAAACATCGACCGATATAGCTCTTTTTTCAAATTTCTCAACTCCGGGCACACTCAAGCTTACACACACGGTCAAATAAACTATGAGACTGATTCGGCTGGCAACAGTCCATTACAGTACTCATCAAAATCAACCCTGCAGACATTTTCTTAATGCAGGACCATCCACCTGGATCTTTTAGCTGGTAGCCGCCTCTCAAGATGACCAGACATTACTCACTTTAGAATTCGGTAATAATAATAGCTCGCAACGCATTTGCAAATAATTTTATAACACTCTGCGTCCCCTAAATTACCACCCTGGTAAAATGAAAGCACATCGTATATTGATTTTTAATTGTTATGATAATGGAGTGATAATTTATTTAATTTTTGTAAACAGTTTTCATTGCAATTAATCTTAAGTTCATACACATACATACAAACAACGTTTCTATACTTAAATTACATAAGAGTTTAACACTTTTTAAGCATAATTAAATGTATTTCATATACATACCACTCCCTTTACGGGCACCAGACAAATATAATATTTTGTTTCAGTATTACTTTAAATTGATAGAATTATTATTATATATAATAATATAATGTGTATATAATGTGTGTATGTAGCTGCTACAGACTAAGCGACTGGAATGTGTGTGTGCAACTTACAACTAGAAAAATCATTTAAGTAAATTTTTTTTTTGTTTTTACTGATTAGTAGGTGTTGTTGTTGAAGACCCTTAACGGATCTACAGGTAGCCGTGACCGGCCACCTCGGCGGGTATGTAACCCTCGCGTCCGTCACGCGTGCGCACATAGAACCACTGGCGATGATCTTTGGACTCACGACACTCACAGAGCGTCACAATTTCGCCTTTGTGCAACACAATGCTCTCGGTGGAGTAGTCGGTGTTGATAGCGACCAGCGTCTGACGCAAGCCATGCTGCTTGCGGCTGGCAATGTGCAGCACGCTGGCGTGTTGTTGTAACTTGGCGCTCTTCACGCTGCCATTTGTGTTGGAGTTGGCCGCAAAGCTGGCGCTGTGTGACATGCTGGTGATGCTGGGCGTGGCATTTGAGGCCACGCTAACCGCCGCCGTATTGTTGGTATTCTTTGGATGAAGATGCTGCCCGTTGTGACCGTTCGTTATGTACGAACCATTGATGAGCGGCTTGTGTTGCAATTGCTGCAGCTGTTGCTGTTGTTGTTGCATGTGTTTTTGCACATGCAACTTTGACTTGTGCTGCTGCTGTTGCTGTTGTTGTTGAAGCGTGACGTACTCATCATTGCCGGCATTACGCAGCGCCAACGCTTGCTTCGTAGATTTAAGTTGCGCGTAAGCTTTCTCGACTAGACGCGGTTGCGAGGCCGCACGCAAATAGAGCCGATCCACTTGATGTTCGCCGCACGTAGAGGCGGTTGTGGAAATATTGGGCGTGGCATTGCCATTTGTCGCATCCACATCGGTGCCGACGGCATCGCCGCGCTTGCCGCGTGGTGTACGTGCACCATCGGAGCGTGTACCGCCACGCAGACGTATCTCCTTTTCGGAGTCGGTCATATTGCCGCCGGGGCGTGGAAATATATCACCGTTGGACTCCCAGCAAGGTGCTGGTTTATTATTAACCGCCGCGCCACTGCGTACATTCTGTGGCAATATGCCGAGCGGCAGACAGCATGTATAGACGACATAGCCCTCCTCTGCATGTGGCGTTTGTACATATAACCAGTTTTGATTTTTGAATACCGCATTCACGACCATACCAAGCGGCAGTGGAATTTCAATCTGATGCTGACCCGGACGCGTTTGGTATAGCGTGCTGGCGGCGGAGAGCACCACCGGTATATTGCCGGGCGCTGCCAGTGAACACTTCGACAGAAACTCATCCACATTACTTATCTCATAGCCGAACTTGGGTACACGATTACGTTCGCGTCGTTTGCGATGCCGATGACGACGATGTTGTCCCTCCGAGGCGGCGATCAAGCTTGGTTCGGAGTAAGTACCCTTTAGTGACTTTAGTTCATCTTTTTCGAGCACAATACCGTTGGGCGTGAGCACGCCACCGCCTGCTACCGCTGCACCACAGCCATTTTTGACCAATTGATTGGCCTCAGCGCCGTCCGCGTTGGCTCTGTCATTCGTTTGCAGTGTTGCCATCTTGGCTGCGAGCCGTTTACGTATCTCATTGCGCTTTTTGGCCAACGAAAGCGCTTCGCTGTTGTCGTAACTCTTCGGCAAACGTTGTGGCGTACAGACGAAGAGCAATTCACGTGAGGGTGTGCGAGTTTTATCTCTATATTCCAATAAATTTTGATTGCTAAAGAATTTCTGTGGTGCCAATGCATTAGCCGGCATATGTGCGGTGGGTGTGGTCGCATACCCATTGAGTGGATCAGTGCTGACAGGCAGCTGTTTGAGGCGATAACGTTTAGTTGTCGTTGTTGTTGTGGTAGTAGCTGTATTCGTCGTGGAAGTGGTGGTCAACTGTGTTGGCACCA